TATTCAGAGATCCTCTATTGGCAATTTCCTGCCGCATTCAGCATCTATCGCATGACCATAGCTTCCGCAGGAGGCCCATTCAATATCAGTCTATCCCCGCTGTGCACGCTTCACATAAATCGTACCTCAGTCTTAGCGGCCCGTCATCTTACCACCCCTTATTATTTTTCTGATTATCGTCTTGTCTCCTCATAATCTGTCGTTTGATAATAATAATAATAATAATAATAAAAAAAACTAAAAAAAAAAAACTGATGTTCTCCATCAGTCACTTCTAAATGCAATTGCGCTCCTTGCTAGGTCAGCTAATTTGCTATGCGCTTATTTCTCAAGGCCGCTCTTTCATTCCCAGTTGCTTGATCCGGCAATTTCCGTCCCTCTCCTTGGTCAGATTACTGAACGTAGGCTGCCGTTCGGACCTCTGGTCAGACTGCTTCTAAATTGGGACGAAATTTCTTTTCTATGTCGACATTATCTATCTCCTGCCATGCTTCAAAAATTTTACGGATGCTGCATCCGTAGGTTTTGGGGGGTTCTTCAGGACAGGTGGTTCACAGGTTCATGGCCTCTTTTATTCACACCCATTATGCTTGTGTGAGGTCTACCCTTAGCTAGCTTGCCATCGTGGGGCTTTGGGAAGGAATCGCATCCGCCCACTGCGATAACATCGTAGTAGTTGAAGCCACTAATAAGTCACTCCTCCCAGTCTCTCATGCCTTCATCAGAAGCATCACTGGCAGCAGTCACTAACGTTCATCATCTCGGCGCGTCATGTTCAGGCATTCAAGCACTTTTATTCGCCCAATCGTTACCCTACGTCCACTCATGGTTCTTCACCACCTCAGGATACTCTTAGAATCACGTGGCCTTCCCTCTAGTAGGTAATCTGGGCATTCGTTCTGGACCGAGCAGCTGCATCGCAGCTACTCGCGGGGTTCTGAGGCTTCCCTCAGCTCTGGGCCGATGGTTCACCAGAACCCTCACCAATTCTCTCAGCTCAGTGCTCTCTCTGCCTCTAGGTAACTCTATTACAAATACTGGTGGTGGTTCAACTCATTTTCATAATTTTCTGACCTAATCACGACCATCCTCTAACTCATTTTCTACTCCCACTCCTTATCAGTTTTCTTCATTATTCCCTGCTTCATGCAGTCTTCCATGCTGTCTCCTTGCTATTCATGCTATCTTCATTCTGGCTCGCATTCATGCAATCTCACCTTTATGACAGGCATTTATATGCATTCTCCTGTGTGTCACGTCACGTCTGGTCCGTGTCTCGTCATGCATACTTGACACCATTTAGCATGCATTCCCTAATGCATCAATTCTTCATATATGTTACCATCCGCAAGAATCATCCGCAAGATTCATTATCAGACTCATCTGCAAGATTCATTATCAGACTCATCCGCAAGATTCATTATCAGACTCATCCGCAAGATTCATCATCAGACTCATCCGCAAGATTCATTCCCTAATGCATCACATGCTCCCTATCTGTGTCTCGTCGTGTCTCGTCATGCATCCCTTACGCCATTTTGCTTGCATTTTCAATGCATCAATATGCACCATGTCTGCGTCTCGTCATGTCTGTATCCCGTCATGTTATATGTTCTATATGGACTCATCTGCAAGATTCATTATCAGACTCATCCGCAAGATTCATTATCAGACTCATCCGCAAGATTCATTCCCTATGCATCACATGCTCCCTATCTGTGTCTCGTCGTGTCTCGTCATGCATCCCTTACGCCATTTTGCTTGCATTTTCAATGCATCAATATGCACCATGTCTGCGTCTCGTCATGTCTGTATCCCGTCATGTTATATGTTCTATATGGACTCATCCGCAAGATTCATTATCAGACTCATCCGCAAGATTCATTATCAGACTCATCCGCAAGATTCATTCCCTAATGCATCACATGCTCCCTATCTGTGTCTCGTCGTGTCTCGTCATGCATCCCTTACGCCAGGGGTGTCAAACTGGTTCCAGAAAGGGCCGAGTGGCTGCAGGTTTTCTTTCCAACCAAGCAATAGCACACCAGACTCCATTCATCTCATTAAGTCATCATGTTGACTAACTCAAGACTAGACTCACTTGATGAGATGAATGGAGTCTGGTGTGCTATTGCTTGGTTGGAAAGAAAACCTGCAGCCACACGGCCCTTTCTGGAACCAGTTTGACACCCCTGCCTTACGCCATTTTGCTTATATTTTCAATGCATCAATATGCACCATGTCTGCGTCTCGTCATGTCTGTATCCCGTCATGTTATATGTTCTATATGGACTCATCTGCAAGATTCATTATCAGACTCATCCGCAAGATTCATTCCCTATGCATCACATGCTCCCTATCTGTGTCTCATCGTGTCTCGTCATGCATCCCTTACGCCATTTTGCTTGCATTTTCAATGCATCAATATGCACCATGTCTGCGTCTCGTCATGTGTCTGTATCCCGTCATGTTATATGTTCTATATGGACTCATCCGCAAGATTCATTATCAGACTCATCTACAAGATTCATTATCAGACTCATCCGCAAGATTAATTCCCTAATGCATCACATGCTCCCTATCTGTGTCTCGTCGTGTCTCGTCATGCATCCCTTACGCCATTTTGCTTGCATTTTCAATGCATCAATATGCACCATGTCTGCGTCTCGTCATGTCTGTATCCCGTCATGTTATATGTTCTATATGGACTCATCTGCAAGATTCATTATCAGACTCATCCGCAAGATTCATTATCAGACTCATCCGCAAGATTAATTCCCTATGCATCACATGCTCCCTATCTGTGTCTCGTCGTGTCTCGTCATGCATCCCTTACGCCATTTTGCTTGCATTTTCAATGCATCAATATGCACCATGTCTGCGTCTCGTCATGTCTGTATCCCGTCATGTTATATGTTCTATATGGACTCATCCGCAAGATTCATTATCAGACTCATCCGCAAGATTCATTATCATCGTCATCATAATGGGATGCATCATCGTCGTCATCATCATCATCATCATCCGCAGGATTCATCATCATCATCCGCAGGATTCACCATCATCGTCATCATCATCATGGGATCATCATCGTCATGGGTTCATCATCGTCATCATCATCATGGGATTATCATCGTCATCACCATCATGGGATCATCATCGTCATCACCATCATGGGATCATCATCGTCATCACCATCATGGGATCATCATCATCATCATCATCATGGGATCATCATCGTCATGGGTTCATCATCGTCATCACCATCATGGGATCATCATCGTCATCACCATCATGGGATCATCATCATCATCATGGGATCATCATCATCATCATCATGGGATCATCATCATCATCATCATGGGATCATCATCATCATCATCATCATGGGTTCATCATCATCATCATCATCATGGGTTCTTCATCATCATCATCATCATGGGTTCTTCATCATCATCATCATCATGGGTTCTTCATCATCATCATCATCATGGGTTCATCATCATCATCATCATGGGTTCATCATCATCATCATGGGTTCATCATCATCATCATCACGGGTTCATCATCATCATCATCATGGGTTAATCATCATGGGTAAATCATCATCATCATCATCATCATGGGTAAATCATCATCGGTAAGTTCTCGGCGTCAACCGTGGTCGCCATCCTCATCAACAACCTGGCTCGGTAAGTTGTTCGCAAACCTTCTCAGCATTTCATTACGCATTCTTTATTCTGTCCCTAGTGTATGCCCTACGAGCATACGGACTCTCCGGCCTCGACTCGGCTTTTTGGGGGAACATCCCTATTCACATTCATCTACTCATGCATGTTAAAGCATAATTCAGCATGAATGTTCCTGCCGAGGTCTGAGCGCCAAAGACTATACTTTCTTATCAATAAATTCTTCTAATTATCTTTTCTCTCTGTGTGAGTTTTTCAGATTGAAATGAAGCTCTAGCGAAAGTTCAATTGAAGAAACTCTGACTTACCTCCATCATCAGAAGCCGATCCGTCTCTGAAGCGAGCCAATCAGCTTCGAACTACTCCACCACGAAGCCCAATCAGCGTCCTGCTTCCACTTTATAAACTCCCTCAAATCTCACCACAGCCGCTATCCTGCAATCGCAATGTCGGATTTCGATTCAGACGACAATCCACCCACCTCCATCCCCTTCTCCGCCATCGCAGCTGAATCGTCCTCCATGACACGACTTCACCTCAACCTCATCAGAGAGTATTAATCCCAGTTGTCACCATCCCTCGTCTCATCGCATTGGTCCGGCAGAAGACCACCATGTTGAGCCCGGTTCTGCCAGAGGTTTCTTCCCAAAGGGGAGTTTTTCCTCTCCACTGTCGCTTCATGCTTGCTCATCATGGACACTTCACGGTACCTGCATCACCGAGCAGGACCTCTATATCTCGAGTCTGAGTGAAGCCCCGGCGTCAGCTCCCTCAGTCTTCTAGTCCCACAATTCTGCCCAGCAGATCACCTTGTCAACCAGCTCGGATTAAACCACCACCAGTTTCAGGCCCGGGGGGAACATCCCTATTCACATTCATCTACTCATGCATGTTAAAGCATAATTCAGCATGAATGTTCCTGCCGAGGTCTGAGCGCCAAAGACTATACTTTCTTATCAATAAATTCTTCTAATTATCTTTTCTCTCTTTGAAATACATGTCAAGATCATCAAACATGCAGATGTATCCTTACACTTCCTTGACATAACTGAATCTTAGCATAAAAGACCTCTCTGTTTGGTCTCAAGCACTAATTTATCTTTTATCTTTAGGCTTGTTAAACTTTAATCAGCCTAGAAGTGTTTACCGCTCACATTGTCTTAACAGAAGTGATGCTTACTGAATTATAAAGAAAGAAGAATATATTTAAACTACATTCTTGAGTTACTTCTAGAGACACTGATTTAAATATCCAAAGTCAATGCTGCATTTGTCCATCCATTAGTTCAGGGGTGGGCAATTCCAGTTGCTGCAACACACCTGAATCAAGTAATTAGATAATTGAGAGGACTCTGTAGTAACTGACTGCATAGTGAGGAAGTAACGCAGTTATCTGAATCAGGTGTCGGACGAAGGGTGAATCTAAAGGTTGCAGGATACTGGTCATCAGGAACTAGAATTGTCCACCACTGCTTTACACAACTGACATCACATAGTCAGTATGAACAACCTTTGACCACTGGCAATGTGCCTGATTACGCTCCAGCATTATATGACCGCTTCTTTTAGTTGCCACTCTCTTGAATCATTCCATTCCTCCTACATGCCTTAAGTAGTAATGCAGCTTATGAAATGGGCTTTAAAACTAATTTTGCCATAACGGCTAGTGTCCTTATTGTAGCTATTCTAATTGTGGTTCCACTGGCGGTTCTACTTTCTCCTCGAACGGCCCAGTTCAAGGCAACATTCAGGAAGAAATGTCAAGCTTTCCCAGAGACAAGCCAAAGGTAATCCTTTCTTGAATTTCTTCAAAATGCATGTTAAGCATGGGTGCATTAAGGTACAAAATGCTTGCTCATAGTTTTGCTGCTCTTTGGCTCTGTTCTACTTTCCAGATGTGAGGATATTTTAAGGACATTTGAGGAAGCATATTTTGGGAAGGACTCCTGCAACTTTCCAGAGGAAGCATATCATCAGCTCTTTGTGAAGAACCCCTTTATACATTCATGTTATAAAGTAAATGACACTGGTTGTGAGAGAATCTGTCTAAAATGCACAATTTGCAGGTTTTAATATCTTTATATTGATTGTGTTCAGACAATGTTCTGGAGCGGCACAAAAGATCTGGTGCATCAATTCACTGAGAAAAGGGATAATTTTATTACCCTGGAGGGCACCCTGCTAGGGCACATAATGAATGATCTGACCTGGTGTGGGAGGAAGGGCACCCGAGGCAAGAACAAGGACTGCTATCCACATTTACTGCATAGGATCTTGCATGTGTAATTGTGTTTTGGTTTTGCAATAGAGACCTTCATCTACTTCTGTGAAGAATGCAAAATGAACCCTGTATCTGCATTCTGGGTCAGAGCCTCTGCAGAGGTAAGTACCCGCAAATAATTACTGCTCAATAAACAGAGAAATATTCAACATGAAGTATGAAGACACAACATTGAATATAAACATTGTCAAATCTGTCAATTGATGTAAAGCCAAAAAAAGATAAAACAATTATTAAAATGGCAATAATAGTTGTTCCAAACCTTGAAGTCTAATGCAAAGAATTAGTTTAAGCCTATAGTTTAGTTAGTTTAAGCAGCATAAACTAAGGTATTTTGTTATCTTTTTGTGTTCTCACTAACAAATTTATTTGTTTCTCCGTTAATCTGGAAAGAGACAGACCTTTATTTACTGGGGAGTCGTTAAAGCCAACAACGACTTTAACGACTCCCCAACAGTATCACCTGCAAAGAAGGAGCAAAAATGAGAAGACACGCCAATACATACTTTATAAGCTAGGGCTGTAACACTCCCCCTTATAAGAAAGGGACCCACAGGGGCGCCTTTATATACCCAACAAGGTGGATCGAGTAGAATGTTTTAATTAAAACGAAAACAGGTCAACCCCTTTGTAATGAGGAGTGGTTAAAATCAATGTTGGCCTGCAATTCACTTAAAACTGGCCCATGCCTCTAATGCAGAGTTATTAGGGTTGTTATTGGCCTGGCTTAACAGGCACAATGTTTAACCCCCTTCATGGCGATGAGGATTGCTACGTTGTAGGTTTTTGAGAGCTGAAACCTGAGTCCTCCCACTCTGTTTAAGGTAATTTTTTTCTCTCTTAACGTCAATGGCTTCCTTTCACTCAAATACCTATAACACAGCTTTAGAGTTGATTCCCAATACCACATCAATCAAAAGGTTAATTTGCAGGCCAACAATGACTTTGATGACACCCCATTACAAATGAGCGGACCTGTTTTCAATTCGATTTGCATGTTTTCTAAGCCATAACAAGGCTTCATCGAGCTACTTGATAAAGCCTCGAGCTCAACACTACTCCAGACATTTTAAATTATGAAAGCTTTCGGAATGGGAAGGGAAAAGTCTTCAAACTTGGAAAACAAAGTCCAGTTGTTTGTTTTGGACTTTTTTTTTTTTTTTTTTTTTGACGATGACGTGGATGACATGGAATCTTACCCAGCATACCTACCTGGCTTTTAGTGAGTTTGGCAAAATACATCCCCTCCCATGTTGTTGCAGCCTTTTGTGTGCCACATTTCTGGACCACAGTAGAATTTAAGCATCGGTGACAGTGGATTAGTATAAATTCATGGATGTGTAATGCATATATGTGTGAAAAATTATGTCATGAAAATAGATGATAGAGGCGGGCCTTTGCGATATATAGTGTGTTGCGGTTTCCGGCACCGTTACCTGCTAAACCAAGTGAAAATGGGATAGGCTTACCAACACACGTAACCTGGGCCTCATGGGCCATAAATTTGTGTTTTCTTTGGGACTATCTTTCCCTCTTGGTTGATAGATTATCTCGGCTACATAAACAAATTATACTCATATCCCACTTTTTAATGGCAATTTGAATGGCTCAATTCAGAGTGTAAATGTAGCATTAATACAGCTCTTTTTCATAGGTATTCTGGCTCTGCCTAATTGTCCACAGTGTTTTCTACAGTCATAATCACCACTGTGAACAGTTGTGATAGGTTTTTTTCTTCCTCTTCTTTATATCAGTACAATCTGGTCATAATATTGTCAGCTCCCAGTGCTAGATAAATTAATTAGTATAATACAGTGATCCCATCATCCCTTACTTCCATGGACGATGTGCAGAGCATGCCCAGATATTAAAGTAAAGGGGCATAAATGCTAATAATGAATTAATAAATAAATGCTGCAACCGATTACAGTAAAGGAATAGACATTTCAGAAAAAATATTTGAATGCTTCAACTTCTCCCAAAACGAACTATAATATTCAAGTTTGACAAAGTTTATTTTTTGATCCCTGCAACACTGTGTATTTTTTTCTAATTAACTTTTTTTTTCCTTTGATGCTATATACGCAGTTTGCAAATTATTCTTGTGGACAGGCCAGTGTTATGCTAAATGGAGAGATAAGCAAACCATTCGATCCCACCAGGTGAGTGTGGTTTACAGTGACCCTAGGTATTTGTAAATAGGATCATTTTAAAAATGGAGAAGGTATTTAGCATAGTTACCAATCTATCAGGTTGTCAGATGTAACAAATAAACTTTCAATGATTAGCAACCAGAAGAAGGGAGTCCGACTTTCGTCATAAATTTTGTGACTTCAGACTTGGCTTAAACAAAATGCTCAGAGACTCGTGATTTGGACTTTTACACCAATTACTTTGGACTTGAATTGGACTTGAACCTGCTTAGTTGAAAGGACATGACATTCTACCGAAAATCTAAAGTTTAAAATGCCTTTTGTTGATAAAATATTCAACATTAATTCAATTAATTCAGGCTGTATCTCTCTGTCTTTCCAGACTTTGTATGCATGAGCTTCAGCACAACCGATCAAATTAACCAGATTAAAACAAAACGAATACAAATATGCACAAAACATTTCTTTCAGGTACTTAAACCTCAAAGTACTTCACACAAAACTGAATGCAGCCTGCAAAACATGTAAGACAATATTCACAGACAGACCAGACAGCTTCCAACTTTGTTCATTCAGTTTGGTTTATTTATATGCCAATTGTAACAATTCACTTCAAAGCACTTTACAAAGACAGTTCTTTTGAATTCTGTCTGTAAATCCCTGCAGTTATTACCGGTACATACTTTAGTTTAAGAGGGTTCCTTTCAATGAAACACAGCTAAGTACATTAAGACATTGACTTGCCAGGATTTATTCCTCAGGAATGAGCATGTGGCAACAGGAATCATTCGCTTGCATTATACAGTTGACTGCAGCGATTGGGCACATTGAGCAGAAGGTCATCATTTGTCTAAAAACTTCAAATTGCATCAAGAGCGGTAGGCTGTAATTTTCTTTTGCCACAATGAAATAGCTGACTTTTATCATGTCCTATTAGCAGATATTTAGTTGCTGTAGTTTCATGACATGTTGAGAGGAAGACAGATTTATAAAAAAATCACTCAACACTTGACTCTGACTTGACTGTATTTGCTTGCAGCTTTAGGATGAATACATGAGACACACTTAAGATTTGCAAAACAATGACCTGGTCCCACCTTTTTTGCAACTAGGCATAAAACCTAGAGCATGTATGTCCACGGTGCAATCCATAGACCAGTTTGGACCCAAGAAATGAACCTCTCACCAACAACTACAAGCATGATACAGGGTTGGCCTGAAATCATAGGCAGTTAAATGTAGATGCAGACATTTTTAATAGATTGTAGGGCTGATTGTCTGCTGATTACCTTTTTTTGTTGTTGTTCTTTTTTTTTAGTGCTTTCCATCCCAGACTGCAGCTTTCCCCCCGAGATGGTTGCTGTTTTAATGTTGACCTCTAGATGTCACTGTTTATATATTTATTTAAATTTCATTTTTATTTTCAACATTACTTTTAATAATTTATTTAATATAAAGCAGTTTAGATGTTATGCATTATTTAGGAGTTGATGCCTTACAATTTTATCTAATAGTTATGTCTTTGCTCTGCCAGCTACTTTGGATCCATTGAAGTCAGGAAGCTCATGTATCCCAGAGTGCAAAGCCTGACTGTTATTCTTGTTACCAAAAACAATAAGTAAGTTTTTCCTTATACGAGATGCTAATTTCTCAGTTTATGTGTGGTAATCGTATGAATCCATGTGATATTGACCTTTGTATTTTGGTTCCATAAAATGACTCGGCATGTTTGCTGGGTAATATAAAATCACTCAGTATCTTTATAAGCTAATTGATTTATGACTATTTTCACTGCCTCATTTTTGCACGTTTGATCTGATGAATTACACACTGTATGCGACTGTTTTATTTGTGCTGACTTTGCTTTGATGTTTTCAGGGTAGATTGCAGCCATGAGTCTCTGCAGGTGCTACGGAACATCCTGGATCCAGAAATTTCTTTATACTGCCATTCAGTTAAAGAGTAAGTAACTTTAAAAATACTATTAATTATACATTTCCTTAAACCAAAACATGCTTTCAAAGACTATTCCAGTTTTCTTGCATTTTGTCTTTTTACCATAGATCGAGGATACAGGAGTGTATAGAAATGGGCACAACCACCAAAGCCTGTTGGAGTTAAAACTACTAGAGGCTGTTAAAAAAATATATATATACAGTATATATATTCTTCTTTCATGTATTTGCTAACTTTTTTTAACATGTTCATTTTTTAACAACCACATGTTTGGTTATTTTATTATCATTCAAATATTACAAGTTTCTTGTATTATTTTATCATCCATATTTGATGGCAATACAACTTTTACACATACTTTAACTTTACAACCTTGATATTTCCTGTGCTTTTATGAGATAGACAAATAAACAAAACTCATTATTGGGAAGTGGTGACAGAAAAATTCTAATGTTTTGCCTTTTTTGTGTTTTTTATTATTTTATTTTACATCTTTGACAATCTGATAATTATGGAATCATTTATTTGAAATGGTCCCTTGACTCTGTTAACTATATGTGAATTTATTTTCAGAGGGAATTTTTTATAAGATATTTCAGTCTCTATATTACTGTTCTGTAAAGGCTTCTGTGATTTGTTAAGGAACATTAGTCAACAAATATTATGACGATGTTGGAAAATAAATTAGTAAATTTTCAGCAACTCAACTACAAACTTACAAAACAATCCATGACATAGTCATCCAACTAAACCAAGAAATTTAGCAAGGATTAATAGGTGAAGGAGCCAAAAGGCCTATTGTTAACACTGGAGGAAACACAGAGATCTGCTGCTCAGGTGGGCTAAATTTATTATAGCTCCACACATCCGACCTTTAATGAAAATGTAATTGGATCATTGAATTGCTTAAAGAAAACCTTTGGAAGTCCCCTCTACAGTTTGTTAAAAGTGACATAAATATATGTACCTATAAAGCCCTTTGTGGTGGAAAACAAACATCATGAAGATCTCAAACATCATCGGCGGGGCTATCATGATATCTGACTCTTTCCTGCTATTCTTGTTCACTGGTTGGTACTATTTTAGTTTATGCCTTTGTAAATTGGATTCTCATTTCAGTCTATCTCAATTCGGATTTTTCCCCTAAATCAATTTCTTTTTGCTCTCGTTTTTTTCATTTTGCTACCTCAGCTCCCTTTACTTTCTGCTAATCTCCACCTAACTGCCTCACATTTTTAAACCCACATCTGCCTCTGTATATAAGCTCCCTGGTTTCCATTACTCATTGACAGTTTCTTCCTTTATTCTACCAGATGGTCAAACACTCCGCCCAGTTCTCTCCATTTGCTTCTCATGCCTGTGTAAGTTTGTGGTTGATTATTATTAAATATTGAGGTGCCTCAAGCAGCTGCCCAGTTCCTGTCTGCATTTTGATACTGCTACAAACTCACACATGTATTGGCAGGATGAGACTTAAAATTGGGGCGGAAGTTCACTTTCCAGCATCAGAAGAATTGTATTGATATTGAGTTAAGGTATATTGTAAAGAAGGAGGGACTTTTCTGTCCCTAGCTGCTCAACGTTGGTAGCAACCTATCCCACAAGACTCAAAGGTGTAATTGCAGCAAAACGAAGGTTACAAAAGTCTGACGGGCTGAATACAAATATATATGGTAGTTAAATTATGAATATATTATTATTAATATCAAAATAAAAACAACACATGATGGAGGTGAAAAAACTGACTCTTTTATTCAGATCTTGAGACAGATCTAATTATATTATCTGGCCAGCAGAATAACCTTTTCTTATGTACACAGATGTAAATAAATAAACCAAACCTTGTAAGTTATCATTTACTGTATAACAATAAAGATATTAATCATTAATAACCACTTTGACCTAAGGACTGTGTGCGGCTGTCTTTTTTGGTTCTTGAGAACTGCAACCTGACATCAAAACGTTATAGACTTTAGCATTGTGAACCTGCTGAACCACCAGAAAGAATGAAAGTCTTCTGACAAACTTTTCGGTCCTACTTACTTTTAGGTGTAAGTCTTAGGCATAAGCCATGAAAGGCTTCGATCTGTCCCCTCAGAGTGGGAGTGTTGTGGCAGGAAGCAGGAGGCTCATCTACATGGGTTGAACCTCCTCTTTCCTTTCTGGTGAGCTGCTGTTGTGTCACACGTACCGTAAAAGGGGCCGGTGTCGGTGCTGGGAACAAATGTCCGGGGTTGTCTCTACACAGGTCCTGAAACAAGAAGGCCCCTTCATCAAAACCACAGTAAGGGCCTCTGTGACAAACACTGTACTGTCGGTAAACACTGTGGCAGTTTGACTCACTGGTGTTGCCACTCATAAAGCAACATCCTTTTTACTTTTATTATCTTTATTTTTTGCTTTTGAGACAATTTTAAAGTGCTGATGTGACACTACCGAAACCCATGAGATCATTTTTTGTCATTTATCTGCCTTTTTTCCCCCGGTGACTTAAATGTGGACTTATTTTTAAATCATTGTGGCACTTGTTTCAACCGATACCCATCCTCTGTTCTGCTTACTCCAGTGTTTTTTTGCAGGCCAAAATTATTCATATATCCGATTTAGATTTGGTAATCTGACACGTCTTTCTGCTTGGCTGGTTTTAAAGTCTTTATAACTTACAGGCACAGATACACTGAGGCTAAACCTGTGGGAAGCAATTGTAAGAGTCAAATCAAACACTACCTTGAAGAAAGCCACCAGAGATGATTCTTTTTACACTTTACACCTTGACTGAAACCAAGAACTGGGATGAGGTATTTCACCTGTTACTCATGAGTTCAGATTTCTTAGTGGATCTTTTGGATTTTCCAAAATGATCAACAATTAACCACTGAGCTGGACTGTTTGAAGCTTTCTCAGAAAGAAAAAAAAAAGTGGGAGGCAGCTGAACTCCATGAGTAGAAAATGAAAGAGAAACCTATAGCAGATAGGACCTGCAGGCATGAGGTTAACTTGTGTTTCATCAAATTATTTGATCACATTTTTAGATGAATTTAAAAAGTATGATAGGATTTTTTTTTTCTAATTGTAAGAGTTGCAATCACAACTTTTACGATCTTTTGTAGTATTTCCTCGTTTTCAATAGGTATCATGCACCAGGTACCAGTTTCATGCTTACAATCTATTCTAAACAAAAATGCCAAATATTATCAACAGCCATGCCCCAAAATATTAATATCTTTTACCAACATGTTTTGCTAACATGTTTGTTCTTGTCACGTCTAGGTTGAGGTTTGGAGGACCCAAATGCAGAGGCTGAGAGGCTGAGGTGAATACTTGTAGTTTTAATGAAAAAATGGTTAACAAAGGCAGTCCAAAAATTCAACTAAAATGTAACAGACCAGAACCATGGAGACATCAAGGGAAAACACGTAGAAGGAGCCAGGGAGAGACGAAGGGAGACGATTGCAGCGATGACAGGACTAGCAACAACAAGGAACCAACAAAGAGTGAGAGCAGAGGGAGAGCATAAATAGCTGACAGAGACAAAGGGAGGGCTAACGAGCTGACAAGGAGCAGGTGTGAGAGGAGACAACGAGGGAGCCAAGGGGAAAGGAACACACACACACACACACACACAAGAGGGCTACAGAGGACAACAGAAAAAACATGAGAACTAACAAATCTAGAAATTACAAAAAAAGGAATTAAACCAATAAAACTAGGGAACATAGAGCAAAGTAAAGCACAATATAACCAAAACCGTGACAGTCCTGACCAGAAGAAAAATTAACATTTTGAAGAGGCCTGTTTTGTTTCTTTTTAAATAAATCTGATGCAGAACATGTAGGGGAAGTGAAAGATTAGACATATGGCTAGAGGGCCTTCCCATCTCAAAGAATTAGTGCCATCTAAATTTAAATATTATAATAACAGTTTAACATATTTATTACTAGTCACAATAATGTTAACATTTGTGTACTCATACTCCCTGTGCTCATATTTCTTGTCTGGGACTTAGCTGCAGAGGAAGCAGTCTCAGCCGAGATTCTCAGACTCCCCTCTCCCCAGACACCCCCTTAAGTCCTTAGGGGAAGCCTGATATGTTCCAGGTCTGCTGAGAGACATAGTCATCTCAGAGTATTCTGGGTCTTCCCCTGGGCCTCTTCCTGGTGGGATATGTCTGGAACACCTGGCGTCCAGAAAAAGATATCCAAGCTACCTTAGCTGACTCCTCTTGATGTGGAGAAGAAGCGGCTCTACTGGGAGCCTCTCCCGAATGACCAAGCTTCTCACTCTAACTCTAAGGGAGTGCCCAGCCATTTACCCTTTAGAGAAAACTCATTTTAAAATGCTTGTATTTAGAATCCTGTTCTTTCGGTCATGTTCGAGATTCCATGACAATAGGTGAGGGTAGGACTTTAGACCTCTCTCTCTTCACCACAACAGAACAGAACAGTGTCCGTAATAGGGCAGCCACACCAATCTGTTGCTCTGTAGCTCCATTCTCCCCTCAGTCGTAATAAGGACCCAAGATACTTAAACTCCTACCCTTATAAAAGAAACTCTCTACCCACCTTAAGGGGAAAAGTCTCCTTTCTCATGCTAAGAACCATGGCCTTAGATTTAAAGAGGTGATTTTCATCCTGGCCACTTCGCACTTAGCTAAGATCTGCCTGAGCACATGTTGTTGGTCTTAGCAGGAGGGAGCCAACAGAACATCCTCCCCAAAAAGCTGGGGCAAATTCCCATGACCCTTCGAGCACCCTGCAGAGGGCGTAGAGCCCGAAACACGCCCGAAACACAAAACAATGCCCCTCCTGTAGCTGAGGTTTGGCAATCAGCCAGGCTTTCTTCTCCAACACCCTGGTATTGACCTTCCTGGGGAGACTGAGAATATGTTAGCACTATGACATTTGTTTATTTACTGTATTGGTATTAGAAATGTTGTACATTAACCAAGCCAGACAGAACATTCTGACCAGAACCCAGGTGAAAATCTTGTTTTTGAGTAATATCTTCACAACTACTGCTCACAGACTTTGTCCATCTTTGTGGCGCCTGAGTTTTTTCATAACGGGAAATGATCATAATGTAGTTTCCAAAAACGATATATGTAATTTTTAGAGTTAGTGGAAGTCCACCAGTAACCGGAAGTGCTTGCTTAGGCAATTATGTTTTATTTTTAAATGAGGA